AATACACACGGGCCGGTCATGTAGGGGAAAGGGGGGGGGGGTGTCTTGACTTGACAAGAAGACAGTGTACTGATTAGGCAGGTAGGTGTCAGTTCTCTTGTCACGGTAGCGCTTCCACCTGTCACTAAGTTACGGTATATTACTTCATCTCCGCGCTGAAGTAGGTAAGATGTATAATAAAAATTTGTGTGGTTTTGTTTATTTATTTATTTATTTTTTACTTCTTCTAAATGCAGTAGTTAAATATGAATGACAAACATCTATATTATAATATATACTTATCAGAGAAAAATAATAATACAAAGGAACAACAAAACTTGCGCGCATAGACAACATTTATGTTTCCGTTATTGATAAAAAGGATAGCCTTAATAAAGATACTGATATTTGTTTATTCATAATTTATTTTTTGCACACATACCTAATGTTTTATGTTTCTATAATTATCAAAACAAAGTTAATAAAGGTCTCGCTTTTGTGACTCTAACTGTGTAAAGGGATGATAATATTTCTATTTTTGACAAAAATATTTCTCACATATCGACAAATAAAAAAAAATAACAAATGACTAAAATAGTAAATCGATTATTTCATGTACAAAAATAGAATTTGACTTTCGATTTGTGCTCTCTGCTTGGTGACGGTACTTGTTTATTAATTAATTAATTAATTAATCTATTTAATTTATTTATTTATTTTCTTTTAAAAATATACCAGAGTTAGAGTATTAATTTCTCTTTTTGTTCAACAGTTAGATTAATCCTAAATAAATTAACAAAACGAAAGATGAACTCGAGATATCTCGGGTGTTTCTTTTCAAGGTAAAGATAAAAAGCGAGGGTTTCCGAATGCACACGATAAACGCAAAACACGATACACGATAGAACCTGATAAACGATCTTCACGATAAACGCAAAACCTGATAAACGGAAAACACGATAGAAAACGCAAAACCTGATAAACGGAAAACACGATACGATAGGATACGATAGGATACACACACGATACGACAGGATACACGCACGATACGATAGGATAAACGCACGATAGGACACGATAGAATTGTAAAGAATAACGATGCGGGTACTGTATAACTTCTGAAACAGAGAAGATGATGCATTTGTATTTGACATGTGCATTATCTGTGACAAGACATTTTTCAAACATGTTATAATATTTGACCCCATGACCTTGAACAGTTGAAGTTTAACCTAATTTTCAACAATTTTAATGTTTGTGATAACTTGTTAATGAGAGAAGAAAGGGCATTCATATTTGATTAGTGCATCTACCTGTGACAAGAAGTTTCTAAATGTGCTATGATATTTGACTCCATGACCTTGACCTTTAAGTTTGACCTAATTTTTAAAAAAGTTATCATTCTGCAAATATTCCATTATTAAAACATGTCATAAATATCAAAGTGACACATTAAGTTACTGTAATCTTATTTAATAAATGGCAGTATCTGAGACATTATCACTGCCAGAATACAAGTAACAAGAACAGAGACATAAAGCACGATTCTAACGGAGATTATACATGTACTTGTAACTTAGTTGGAATTTTGTAAATGTTGAATGTACTTTAAATCCTTTTTACAATATTCTTAAATTCTACAATTGTAAATTAAAAGTTTATGTTCAAATTTATAATAAAGATTTTAAGAAGGAATACATTTTGAGTCAGTCACAGATTATCTACCTGGAAGAAGCATATTAGATCGACGTTTCAATGAAGATGGGAAAAATATATGCATGCAGCAAATACTAAGGGTGCAACGATAAACCGTTTGACGGTATATCGCGGTATATTTTTCCACGGTTCAATTCACGATACGCTAAACTGATATCGCGGTTCGATTCAATCGGTCCAGAATTATCCGAATTGTCCGTTTTGTTTCCTTTTTTACAATTTCAAAATGGCTTCCCTGCAAAACGTGTGGTCGCCGATAACGCATTACCGGAAGTTGAACTCATCTCCAGCATCTTACAGACCTCAGATTTAACACGGAGATGGACTTAATGTGATTATAAGTTATAGATATTAAGACAAATGATAAACTCTTTAGATCTAAACGTATTCTTTGGTAATACACGATATTTCATCAGGTGTGTATTTCGATGGAAATTCACTGTCTTGTTGACTAAAACATGTTAACACAAGAAATATGACAAGTGGTTTTCTACGTAAATAAAAGGAATAAAAGAATGAATGTATTCCATTTTCATTCCAATTTAAAAGGAAGATTATTAGGAAAGGTCCCCGTAGTTCCCTGTAAACATGGTAAATGTTCATCATTGGTTTAGAATATTGTCAAAACTGAAAGATCAACATAACAATCCAATTCAAGTTAAAAAAAATTTTTTTTAATTATCATTAAAAAATATGAACATTTTATATAACCCTGTCAAGTTTTAAAAAATATGATGACAAACTTGAAAGACTTTTTAACCTTGTCATGTATCGTGATACGTATCGTATCGTGAACTGAATACCGTGATACGTATCGTATCGTGAGGTTAGTGTATCGCTGCACCCCTAGCAAATACTGAAAGTGAAGAAAAACTATATGTACAAAAACTAAAGAGCCTAACCTCTTCTCAGCAACCCTGGATTTCAGAACCCTACTCTGCCTGGGAAGTGGCCGCCCCATGCGCCATGTGTATACTTCCGAAAAGTGGTGCAGTGCAATGATGGTATGCTGTGCCATGCGACATGCCCACAAAATGTGGCCATATATGGAAAATATTACCTTACTCTCAAATACAATATCAACAGTTTACTTATCTTGGTCTGTCCCTTTATCTCTATATTGGCAATTTATACATTTAAAAAAAATGGGGCATTCGGTTTAAATAAATATTTTTTAACACTTGCTGTATTAGATGACAAATGATTTATGAAGTTCTTAGAAACAGAACAATCACATCTACTAGTCAATGTCATATGATTTAAGGACATTGGCAAGGTTCCTGGTTATTGTATAGAATTTTTCAAGAACTTTTGAGTAGGTTTAAATGTACTAAACAGGTTATATTCTGGATCGTTTTACCTACCAATCCATCATTCTTTTTTAGATTTTGTCAAATTAGTGTTTTCACAATTCTTAATGCATTTCCTATGTAAAATGTTGATAAAAGGGACCTACATAATTTTTCACCATAATATTTCTTCAAAATCCATTTATTTCATACAGCTTTTGTATTATATACATTATTGTATCTTCATTTCCTATGACTTCTAGATATTTTGGCTAAAAATGTATATTTAGAAACAAGACATGGGTATATCGGCACCGATCATTATTTTGGAGTTGCGTCCCTTAACAGCTAAAATTGGTCAAGAGACTGGTTGATTGTTTTATCATGTAATTGACTGAATTGAAACTCATTGTCATAAAAATATTGTCATGGATTTATTTTTGACTTTTATTCGTAGTTACTAAATGCCGATTCCTTCACATGACCTAAGAACTGTTCTCAGTCGGCATGGTCGACCTACCTTTCAGCATATGTCACATCTTTGCCCTTTCCAGCAAACTGAGCATAACTATGGTAAATAATGACCTGTTGGCTCTTTGTCCCTGAATACAATGTACAACAAAGCCATTACAGCTTTTCTTTCTTGCTGTATAGATGATTCTACCCGTTGAAGGAGGTACACGTGCTTATGTTTACCTCTGTAACATACGCTATATTGGTTTTCACTGCTTAGAGAATTCTACACGGGAGATCACTCTCAATCACTATTTTATAAGCGAAAAAACCCATGTATTAAACCTTTTTTCTCCGGAAAACCCTGACTTGCCAATGTCCTTAATTGTCAATTCTAATGACATTTATTTTTTAATTTCTTAAATTTTGTTGTCAAAGATATATGCATTATCACAGCATCATATACTATGATATATTTTAGAATTTTAACATATTTCTTCTTGGCCCCTTAAATTTCAAAATGGCCCATTCATTTTATGAATAGTAGGGCCATTGGCCCAACCTGATTGAGGGGATGGAACTGATGAGGGTATATATCTTCAATATCTGACAAAATTAAGGCACATACTTATTTCACTACAATTTCCAAAGTGTGATAGGGGTGGTACAAACTGAAGCAAATGATCCCCCCCCCCTTGGGTTTGTTTGAAGAGTGCTCAGTGCTGCATGTTCACTCCATCCATGATGCAGAGTATCCCTAATAGATTTTTGGGTCCATTAGGGGAGAAATTAAGCATTGAATTAATATTGCCCCCTTTTTTGAAAGACAGTTATAAAATCTGGCTGATAAGCATTTCCCTTTCATTAACAAACATGCAAAGCATTGCTGTCATAATAAGATTCCTTAACATGGACGGAGTTGGTACAACTTTTAATTTTTGTTTAAAAAAACCCATTTGATTCCTTTCCTTTTCCTCTTTCTTAATTATATTTTTTGAAGTTTAATAAATATGGGGGGGGGGGGGGCGTAGGGGTTAAGAGTCGGTGGAATCTCGAATGAACACTTTTTTGCATCAAACTGTGCCGCATGCAAAATCCATACAGTCAGAATACACTAACACATGTTAACCTGCATGCATTTTACACACACGTCACAGAAAAAAAAGCATGCAAATTAATTATTTATGCCGAAAGAATAACAATAGGCACATTCATATAAACTAAAAATAATTATCATTTGCATTACTATTTCTATTTAAATTGTGTTCTAACCCACACCCCCCTTTTTCAACTTCAATCTCCATCGCAGTATCATAATGTCAACAAATACACTTGCCATGTGTATCGACACGTGCGAAACTGGTCTATTTATAGATCTTGACCTAAATTGGGGCACAGTACGGTTCAATACATACACATGTTCATGCGCTTTCATACCGAAATTTTTTTTGTGAAAATAAAATTACTTTCCTGTTTAAAAATGCACAATTTTTTTGGCTAATAGGAATTTGTAAACATACAACGGCGCAAAACTGCTCCGTTTCCGGTTTTAAAATTCCTTACCTGTCATTAACTTCGAGTTTTATCCTCTTTGCCGTCTGGTCTTCTACGCAAGTCTCCATTCTTGTTTAATCTGCCATTTCTAAGAAATATTTACAAAAACACGAATTTTAATAGTCAACCGTCCTCCATGAAAATTGAAACGTGTTACAAGCCTGGCATCCACATTCATGCTATTCCTCACGTGTCGAACATTGTAAACTGTGACGTCACCTGTCAGGTTTAAAGTCACGCGGCCAGCCACAACACATGTGTAACACGTGTTTTTTTCCGATCTCGACGGTTTTTATTTTTTATATTTTAAAATGCGTCTCAGTTATTCAAAGGAATCTGCGTGTGTTTATAGGTGGATCTACATGGAGTGTTGGATGAAAAGATACGTACATTAACCTATCTCGACTGAGCCAGACTTTGAAATGACAGGGGAATAAAAATATATCTTTTTATACCTGTCTAGCTTGTTTCAAGGTGAAACTTGCATCATTTGTCACTTTGAGTAAACCCAAGTAAATGTCTTTGATTAGTTACACAAAAATAAAAATATGACATTATTTCAACTTTATAGGACTTAAATAAGAAATACTTTTAAATTAGGGGGATGCGGAGCTTCTCTTTGGACGAAATGGGAGTGTCTCAGTACGCGAACGCCCCGCCCCTTGGGAAAAGCAGTAAGAAGAGTGTGCATTCAAAAGGAGGTATCAACCGACCCCCACTTCTATACACAAAAAGACACCACCTTTTATTAAATAGTCTAGATTAATTATAATAGGTGCATGCCTACCCAGTTCTTACTTTGAACTTGAGTTTCTAGATCCACGCGTGCAGCGACACGAGATCAGTCCTAAGTTTAATATACATGTATGTATAGAGCGAGATAACGATGATTGTACGTGGCAAAATAAAGAATATTTTCCCCTTCCTTCCAAAAAATTATGACTTAAAATTCAGTCAGTTTGAAACTTAAATTGTTGAACATTCAAATACGTTATATGAGGCTGACTGCAGAGTATTGAAAAGTTGATTATAGTGGACAACCATTCGACTTGGAGAGGGGGGGGGGGGGGCTGACAAAGAAGATGAGTGAACAAGGCGTGCAGAAAGTCTATAGCTTCAGATATATATAAAAAAAAACATTCAGTTTGTGAATTTAGTATTTAAAGTTCTCATATTTGAAAGTTAAGAAATTATGAAACACAAAACTTTTCTGAGGAAAATTTTCTCGGCAAAAATTACTATGTTATTAAAAGAATGTGGTATTTGTGGGTTCGAACCCTAGCAATAAAATATCCTGAGTATCATTTTCCCTGAGACTGACACGCTACGTAACCGCTACACTACACAGATCCCGATGAATGGTGGTATTTAAATCACGTTTGTGATACGACTCTTGACTAAATTAATGGACTTCAAGTATTTCTCGGAGAGATGCTAATGTTATGTCATAAAAGTGTATTTTTAAGGTATAGTGGGTCTTTGCTCCATGTTTTTTTTTTTAGCCAAAAAAAGGTATATTTTTACGCAAACTTTGAGGATAAACTTTTAAAAATATGGAGCAAAGACATACTCATGTCAAAAGATTGTGTTATAGTATGAGAAAATGACTCCTTTTGCCCTCTTTAATATGTGTATGCTATTTCATAGGCAAATAATTATATCAATCTTTTTGAGATTTTTACAAATTGTAAAGATTTTACATATAAAGTATACTTTAATTTTACGCGCGTAGATGAAATATCAAAGAATTTTTTTTTTATAATTGAGATTTATTTTTCATATCATGTTTGTCGCACTATAAGCATTTAGATCGCCTTTTTCGCCCATGTCCTTTTGTCGAGTCAGATTATTTATAAACATGTACTGGCAGGACAAATTTATTTATTTTCGAGAAGAAAACCAGAGACAGATTATGCTTTTTTTTTTCTCCCTGGAGAAAATTGAGTAGGGAAAAAAAAAAAAGAAATCTGCCCAAATTTGTCTCGGCCGGGGGGGGGGGGGGGGCACCAGTCAAGGTCAGATTACTAGTATTTATTTCCTCCTTCCCAGTTATTTTCAACGTTTTCAAGGACAGATTATTTATTTTCAAAACCTGCCAGCTCATCTCCTCAGAAGCGAATGGTCATTCCCTTATTTAAAAAAAAATGTTGCAATTAACCCTACCAACCCACCCAACCAACCCACCAACCCCCAAAATGCATGCACGGAAAATATTGATATTTACATGCTTTGCCCTTCTTAAAGGACATTCTTACCGATAGTTTTGACTTCGGATGTTAATAACAAAGAGATGAGGAATATTTAAGCCTAAATATGCATATACATTAAACTTAACTCTGTAAAATGTATGCCCATAGCTTATTATCAAGTTGTTAAGATTACATTTCTCTCCACCAAGTGAATTGAAAATGTACAAGATATTTTTCTGATGCGAGATATAGATATATGTAAGTCACTATTAGTCAAACGTATGTGCGTGTGTCCGCGTCTAATGTTAGTCTTCTACACAGAGTATACGTATTTCTTCGCCTTTGGGCATAAAACACGGACCCCTGGAAATTCCAGAGGTAGGATCAGGTGCCTAGGAGGAGTAAGTATTCCCTCTCGATGAGTCACACCGCCTGAGCCCTATGCATTGCTAAGGTGGACGGAATATTCCGTAGTCAAACAAGTAAAAAAAATAATGGCATAACAATTGGTATGGAATGCATTGTATGTCAGTCAAAATACTACCTAATGATAGGTTGTATTTGCAAACAAGTTCATTATAACGACCATAACATTTTTGAAATGCTGATTTGAAACGAGTTTGTTGAAATCCCTTTAACATTAAATTATTTGTCAATAACCCGCCTCTGTTAGATAAGATCGATCGTACATGCATGTACTCAGAACATGCTCTTAGACTACCAATCGAATGAGTTGGGAGACATAAACACCATGACATGTGCAGTTGTATAAATACTGCTTCAATACTGGTTTATAAAAAGAGAACAGGGTTATCTGTCCGGAAAACTCACAACATATTTCTATGTAAAAAGAAGTTTTGAATTGAGAAGTATTTATTTAAAAAAATGAACAAAGAAAAATTATATGTAAATTTAGAATAAGTGCATATAATTTCAGAGTTGAAAGTGGAAGATATGGAGAAAAAAAAAAGCGTAAACACGGAAGGACAGCAAACCATCCTTGCAAGAAATGAAAGAATTTGTAGAATGTGTGACATGAATTGTGTGGAAGATGAGATTCACTCACTGATTGAATCTCCATTATATAAACATGATAGACATGATTTTTTTTTTTTAGAATATTGCTAAAAATATTTTTTTTTTTTTTTATAGTTTAACAAATAAAGAATTTTTTTTCTGGATTATGTCTAATGAGAATGATATGTTGCTTATCAAGCTGAGTGATTTTTTGAATCAATATTTTTAAAATAAGAAATAGTGAATTATATAATGTTAAAAAGAACCAAATAAATTTTAAGCATTTATTATAGGTAATCCCCAACTGCTATAATCATCATAATCTTCTTTAGTTAGTTTCTTTTCTTTTAATATCGACATGTTGCTGCTATCAATTTTGAATTTCTTCTTATGCGTATTATTCTTTACTTGTATGCCCTGAGGGACCCCAAATTATTATCAATAAATCTTATCGTATGTAGTTGAGGGTAAGATTGAAAACCTTCACTCCAAGAAAACCATTGCCAACCGAGACGCAAGTGAGGTTGTCGATGGTTTTCAAGGAGGTGACATAAAGTATATGTTTGTCTCCGCCTACTCAAATCCAGCTACTGATGCTATTACAGGGACGTAGCACCGTTTTTAAAAGGGGGGGGGGGGGAGCCAGGAGAAAAAAAGAAGATGGGCGAAGTAGGCGAGCGAAATGCCTATAGTGCTACAAACATGATTTATTGATTGTATGTTTTCACTCATATAGATACGTCACCATATACCGGAGAATGGCTTCAAATTTAGACCTTTACTCGGCACTCAGGGCCATTAAGGAGTGAGGGTTCTTTATCATGCAAACGCCTACCGTGACACGGGGCCTCGGTTTTTCAGGTCTCGTCCGAAGGACCCGCAACTTTCACTTCAAAGTCACTTTTCGCTTGGCGAAAGAAGAGTTGCTACCTTTTTCTTTTATCGACTTAGGTCAGCCGCGGCCGTGATTCGAACACACGACCTTCCGATCACGGAGCGAGCGCTCTACCGGCTGAGCTACCGTGACGGCCGCTACAAACATGAAGATGAAAAATTAAATCTCAATTATAACAATTTTTTTTGTTGATATTTCATCTAACATTATAGTATACTTAATGTAAAATCTCCAAAATTTGCAACAATCTCACAAAGGTTGAAATTGTTTGCATTTGAAATAGCATATACACACTGAAGAGGGCAAAACACACAAGTACTCTGAAGTTGATATTAAAAAGATGTTTGAGTTTCTGATTGACAATATCTATTTGGTTTTTGGAGACCAGGTCTTCCAACAATCTATTGGAATTCCCATGGGTACCAATTGCGCCCCGTTATTAGCAGACCTTTTTTGTATTCATATGAAGAAAAATTTGTCCAAAATCTTATACGTGAAAAGAAGAAAACACTTGCTGTGGCCTTAAAGTCGACATTTAGATATATCGACGACGTATTGTCAATTAACAATGGTTATTTCCATTCTTATGTCGATACGATATATCCCGGTGAGCTTGAGATAAAAGATACCACGGAGTCTGACACATCTGTTTCATATTTGTATATTTTACTTGAAAAAGACGTTAATTATAATCTAACAACCAAGCTTTATGATAAACGTGATGACTTTAACTTTTCAATCGTCAACTTCCCTTACTTATGCAGCAATATACATGTACCTTCATCACCTGCATACGGGGTTTATATCTCTCAGTTGATTCGATACGCAAGAGCATGCTCTACGTATGTACAATTTCTAAAACGAGGTAAATTGTTGACAAACAAGTTTATGAAACAAGAATATCAGCAGTCTCGTTTTAGTTCATCATTTCGTAAGTTCTATGGTCGATATACAAATACAATTTATCATTGAGTCAAATGCTGACTGACGTTTTTCATACCAATTATTAGGCCATTATTTACACACTGAATTGCCGACGGATTTTTCCGTTATATCTCGATCATGACAAGGAGCACACGGCGGGTGTGACCGGTCGGCAGGGGATGCTCACTCTTCCATGGCACCT